AGCGACCCCTCCTTGGGTTTCCGAGGCAGTATCACTACGGAAGTAGGATTGCCCAACCTTCCTTCGTCATACTAAATTAAGAGGCAGGTACTTGTATGAGCTACTTCTAATTGTAGGGCTCCTGCCTGTTTCTCTTCTCAAAGGCTGATGAAAGACTACCACTAAGAAATTTTTACTGCTGTACAAAATAGAAGGTGGCCCAAGTGAAGTGAAATGGGTAGAAATTGTTAGAAAAAAAGTATCACATTTTTGTTGCTTACTCTGAAATCCTAGATTCAGTGTTGGTTTTTTTTAAAAAATCCCAATGGCCATGTGACAGAGAATGCTCCAGTAAACTGTCTTCTAAAAATAATACCAAATCATTATCTTTTTTAAAAATGATATAATGTGAGAGTAAGGCCTTTATTGGGAGCGCTGGTGGTGTAGTACCTAAGGCATTTGACTGGTAACTAGAAGGCTGGCAGTTCAACCCACTAGCCGCTCCTTGGAAGGAAGATTGGGCACTCTACCTCTGTAGAGACACCTCCTAGGAAACCCAAGGAGAGGTCACTATGAGTTGAATCTGACTCGATGGCAGTGAGTTCGTGCCAAAGGGGCAAGGAGGCCACATCTTCTGACTTCATCTAACCCCACAATAAGAAGACAGAATCACCATGAGTAGCCCAAGGCCTATTCCTGCGAGGCCAGTCATGCTGCCTACCTTCAGCCCTTTCACCAACGCTGACACCAACTGTTCTTCCTACAGCACCCATCACCTCTCTGCTGAGTATGATAATTTGCTGCATTGGCCACCCAGAACTCACAAATCCCACCATGGAGTTTACAAAGACTATGGCTAGAAAAGTCACACTATGTCATTTACTACACTGCAGTTTGTTTTTTTGTTTTTTAAGGCCTTAATTTGGTGTATGTGCTAAAGCACTTGTTTTACTCCTTATATGTGTGTTACTATTACATGATATTTAAAAATCAAATAACATACATATACTTCTTATCAGTCTCTTTTTCCACGTGGATCTGTTCTGTAGTAAAATGAATAACATTAGTTTATTCTAGAAGTAATTTAATATAATGTAGTAAAAATATTGGCCAATAACATCAAAGCTTATCTAGCTATCGCCTTTATTACATCTATGCCAGGAGCCTCCTGACCTGAGGGTCTTCATAAAAAATAAAAAGTAGAAGGAGAAAAGTGCCATAGGGAAGGAAATAGAATCCAGGAGATATCATTAAGGCTAAATTAAAAACCAAACCATTGCCATGGAGTCTATTCTGACTTATAGCAACCCTATAGGGTGGAGTAAAACTGCCCCAGGGCGTTTCCAGGGCTGTAAATCTTTATAGAAGCACACTGCCTCTGGAGGGTCAAAACAGCCCACCTTTTGGTTAGCAGCCAAGTGCTTAACCACTGTGTCACCAGGGCTTCTCCCTTAAGGCTGGAGTGAAGTAATTACCAAAGGTAAACTATTAGTCTAGAAAAAAAAACTATGCCCAGTGCATTACCATCTCAAGTAAGTGGCTGTATATAAGGCTGAAATAAGGTATAATGCAAAGTTGATGTGTTTGGTAGACATGACATTTCATTCCATTGTGGCCTCTAGAGTGGAATCATAAATTGAGAACCAAAATGAACCTCAATGACCATATAATAACTTTGATTACCTCAGTGAGAAAACTGAAGTACAAATGGGCTGTTGCCCAAGATGATACAGATAGTTGGTAATAGAATTCAGGTTTCACAACTTTTGGCCCAGTGTTCTTTTTGACTCAGTACTGAATTACTTTATTTGGGGTAGGTGATGAATACACACTTAATTTTGACTTGTTTTGGTGTTGATGCTTTCATGTGATATAAATCAGTTCATAACACTATCCCTGTACGTAAGTTATCTTTCTGCCTTGAATGTCTTTTCCTTGTCTGTATAGTTAGTCCCATTCTCTACTCTACCCCAAGTCCCCTAAATCCATCTTGTGAACTCATTCTTCAGGGTGCAGAGCACTTTGAAATTTTCCGCAATGCTCAGAGCATTTTCTTAAAATCGTGATTTGGGTGAAATTTGACAAAGCAGATTCATTTTACAGTCAACCGTTCATACACATATTATGTTTCATGACACTGATTACAGTCCCAGAATGTAACAGCTCTCCTCCCACCTCTTCCCTGTGGTTACTCCTTCCCTGTATCCTTCTTACCTATGCATTCCTGCCTGTCTAGCTTTCTCTCTGTGCAAATGCTGTTAACTGTTCAGAGGAGTGCATCTCCGTGGTATAGTTCTTCAGCTTGTAGGTCTCTCTGTTGTTGTTTGGTTGAGAGTTAAGCCACAAGACTTCCATTCTAGGCCTGAAGTGTGACTAGGGAGCCATGGTCTTGGTGTTTCACCAGTTATCATCTGACCAGTAATTCTGTTTTATTTTGGTTTTGTTTTTAAATTTTGTTCTACATTTTTTCTTCCACTATATCCAAGATCTCCAATTTTGATTGCTTTCAATCAGAGCATTTAAAAAAAAAAAAAAAACTGTTTTCTAGTCTGTCCTGCCTATTACGCCAAACATCTGCAGAGCAGATGCTTTATGCTCTCCTCTTGATGCATTTCAGCATCAGTGACTCTTTACAGGCATACCTTGGAGATACTGCATTTTCCATTTCAGTCCACCACAATAAAGCAAGTCATGTGACTTTTTTGGTTTTCCAGTGTATATAAAAGTGAATGATTACACTATAGTCTGTTAAGAATGCAATAGCATTATGAAAAAGTTTTAAATATTGAGTACTGGTAAGATGGTGGAATAGGCAGAAAGATTGCACACACCCTCTTCAA